TATATATATATATATATATATATACACACACACTATTTGCAGACTTTTTGAGTGGATGTTGTGGGGAATAAAGTGCATGGTTTACTCAGACAACAGCAAAACAAGAGAAAAAAAACACTTTGATACACACTTCTTCCCCACTTTTAGAGGTGATGCATCTGTTTTTATGGATTTTACCTTAGCGGACTGTGTAATGTGTAATGTAAGCTTTATATTTTTCTTTATTTTTTGCTCCTATTTAAACACCCTGAGCTAAATTGAAAATTTGTATTAAAGAAATGAATTCTTAAAGAAAAAAAAATCTGCATGATTTGCTGCCCATTTTATGTCACCAGGTTATTCTGTCAAATTGTTTATTGTTTAAAAAAATAACGAAGGTTTTCAGCTGTGTAACACCACATACTGTGGAGAGCGTTCTAATGCATGAATATCGAAGAGTTTTATATTATAAAGGGATAAAATGCCGGCTGATTTTAGAGTCAAAGATGAAAGATTGTAAATTGTAGCCTGATTTGATCGAAGTTTCTGCTCTGATACGGGAAGATCTTGCCCATGTAGCTCTGGATGTGCGTTTGTGTTCTCACATTCAAATCAGGTATTATCCTCATCAATGGATGATTATCAGTATTACTTTCCAGTCACTCCTTTTCCCTCTAAAGCTGAACGGAAAGGTAAAATATTTTTTTTAAGTTCAACACACGAGCAGATCGAGTAGTTTGCATTTCATACACAAGGAGGCGCTGTTCAGCATTTTTACATGTGTTTGTGACACGACATGGACTAATTATTAGGACAGAATAATAATTTCTAACAGCATGTTGAGCCTTTCCTGCTTCTCGCAGCGTTGTGAAAACTTACATCCAGTTTGTACATAAATTTATCAGGTGTGGATTTTAGCCAAACTGACAAAAAAAAAAGCGCAGGAGCCACTTTTGAGCTAACATTTTTGTCTAAAACAGAGCTGCTGTGGTGACTGATCACATTAAAAATGTAAAAATAATCTGTTGTTACGCTAAAGAAAATGCATAAGTTAAAAAGAAGCCTTTTTCCCCCCTTGATGCTGTTTGGAAACCTGACTTACGGTGTCTGTGTACGACCGTTGCCAATACTACAGTGTGATGAGACTTTTGTTCTTGCATGAATAGAGACACTGTTCTCCTACCTCATGTTGTGATATAAGATGTTTTTAAAGCAGAGGACACTGCATCTCTAACTGTTCATCATCAGAGTAAATTACAAACCTGTAAATGCTTTTAGCCGATACCTCAGTTGTATCTAGTGTTTGTTTATTTTTGTTTTGTTTTTTTTTTCTTCCCTGATTTCAGACCTTGTAAATATAAACCCTGTATAGACAATGAACTTGGATCAATTTCAAGTAAAGTTCTGTAGTGTCAAAAACTAGTGGTGTCCTCTCATTTTCTTACGTGTGACTCACAAGAATCCTTTTTGTTTCATTTCAGAAACCAGGACTGGAAAAATTAAAATTCAAGACTGACTTTTTAAATCTAATGTAAACTTGATACCCTTTGAAAAAATAATTTAACTTAGAATACAACACTGATCAAACCACAATACCATAATAAACATTACAGCGGGTAAAATATGTATTGAACACGTCACCATTTTTCTCAGTAAATATATTACTAGAGGTGCTAAAGACATGAAATTTTCACCAGATGTTGGTAACAACCCAAGTGATCCATACATACAAAGAAATCAAACCATAAATGTCCAGAAATAAAGTTGTTTGTAATAATGTGGAATGGCACAGGGAAAAAGTATTGAACACATGAAGAAAGGGAGGTGTAAAAAGGCATGGAAAGCCAAGACACCAGCTGAACTCTCTCAGTAATTAGAAAGCAAGCCTGCCCCTTGTCAGTGCAAGTTAATATCAGCTGGTTCAGTCCCAAATGATGGCCAGGTATCACACCAGAACCATCTGATGATGGGTAAAAGTAAAGAGCTCTCTCAAGACCTTCACAACCTTATTGTTGCAAAGCATAATGATGGCATCGGTTACAGAAGAATGTCTAAACTTCTGAAGGTTCCAGTGAGCACTGTTGGGGCCATAATTCAGAAGTGGAAAGAACATTATTTCACCATAAACCGACCACGACCAGGTGCTCCTCGCAAGATTTCTGACAGAGGAGTGAAAAGAATGATCAGAAGAGTTGTCCAAGAGCCAAGGACCACTTGTGGAGAGCTTCAGAAAGACCTGGAATTAGCAGGTACGTTTGTTTCAAAGAAAACAATAAGTAATGCACTGAACCACCATGGCCTGTATGCACGCTCACCACGCAAGACTCCACTGCTGAAGAAACAGCATGTTGAAGCTCCTTTAAAGTTTGCTGCACAACATTTAGACAAGCCTGTGTAATACTGGGAGAATATAGTCTGGTCAGATGAGACCAACATTGAACTGTTTGGATGCCAGAATACACATCATGTTTGGAGGTCAAATGGCACTGCACATCAGCCCAAAAACACCATACAAACAGTGAAGTTTGGAGGTGGGAACATCATGGTGTGGGGCTGTTTTTCAGCATATGGTACTGGCAAACTTCAAATAATTGAAGGAAGGATGAATGGAAAAATGTACAGAGACATTCTTGATAAAAATCTGCTTCCATCTACCAGGATGATGAAGATGAAACGTGGCTGGACATTTCAGCAAGACAATGAGCCCAAACACAAAGCCAAGGAAACTCTCAGTTGGTTTCAGAGAAAGAAACTAAAGCTGCTGGAATGGCCCAGCCAATCACCTGACCTGAATCCAACAGAAAATCTATGGAAAGAACTAAAGATCAGAGTTCATAGAAGAGGTCCACGAAACCTTCAACATTTGAAGACTGTTTGTGTGGAAGAATGGACCAAAATCACACCTGAGCAATGCATGTCACTAGTTTCTCCATACAGGAGGTGTCTTGAAGCTGTCATTGACAACAAAGGCTTTTGTACAAAGTATTAGATAAATTTCAGTAAGTGTGTTCAATACTTTTTCCCTGTGCCATTCCACATTATTACAAATAACTTCATTTCTGGACATTTATGGTTTGATTTCTTTGTATGTATGGATCKRTMGGGTGTTACCGACWTCTGGTGAAAATTTCATGTCATTAGCACCTCTAGTAATATATTTACTGAGAAAAATGTTGACATGTTCAATACTTATTTTACCCGCTGTATATAAAAACGTGGAAAATTGTTAAAACAAATATCAAAAATTATTTTGACCTTTAACAATAAATGATTACAAGGAGCGGTGCATTTTTAATACTCAAACTGATAAACGTAAAGTCACAGTATGTAAAACAATAAAACTGCCAGAGAATGGAAGCTGTTATTTTCTTTACACCTCAGGATTTTTCAGAAAACTTTGGTTTTACAAGAATTTTAAAAGACAAATAGACAGAGAGTAAAGTTTGAACTTTTCTTTGTAAAAATATACTTTTCTATAAGATATTGGAGTCACTTTGACTTCCTTCAACGTGTTTCCTGTTGTTGTGTTTTGTCCTCTGAAGTCGAGCTAAAATCGACTAACCGCTCCGGTCAAAGAAGCGGTTCTGCAGGAGGCTTTGGCCGGTCCTGCAGTACCTGTGAAGATGGACAGACTGCACATAAAACAATAGCTACCAGAAGGCTGTTAAGAAAACACAGCCAGACAACGTTCAGATCCATGTATGAGGGTATTCCCATCGGCAGAAAGAGGGGCACAGCCAGGAAAACCAGGAATGGAGTCCAAGTGTGGAAGAAATTTTGCACCGTTTCTTGGACAAAACTCATCCTGCAGGGAGTTTGCCCCCAGTTTGGAATGTGACTTTTTAGTAAAGGTTTGATGGCTGAAAACACTGCAACACTTGCCAGGACCAGGAGGAGCAGCAGGGTGATGTGTAGGGTCTGAACGGAGTGGAAGATCCTGCACCTGATCGTGTTGTCTTTGTAAATATCAGGAACAAAGTCATACAGCAGGAGAAAATAGAGAGCGGTGATGAACCACACAAAGGCGGTCGCATATGAATAGAAGACCCATGTTGGCTTAAAAGTAGTGGCTTTTAACTTCCTAGTCACAGTGCTGAGATGATCCACAGAAGCCATGAGGGTCACGGGCCACTGCAGCACCACGCTGATGTGTCCAGTGATCTGAAGCAGCAAACAAGGATCGTACTTTGTCATCATGTAGCCAAAGAGGACAACAAATTCTTCGCTGTGAATGTAAATTTTGGCGATGGAGAGCATCAGCACTGTGTCAACAAAAGCAAGAGAAATGCTGAAAACTCCCAGGAAGCTTCTGCCGATCTGCCTCCTCTGGAGAATCACCACAACCCAGTTGAGCAGACATTTCCCTCCCAGAGTGAGCAGGATGGGGACTCTGGAGATATACATGATGTGTGGTCTGGAGTAAGAGCTGAAAGATAGATAATAAAAACAAAATTAGCTGAAGCTGCAGAGCTACAACACAATATAAAACAACGCGGTTGCAACATTATACAACATGGTTTGACATGATACAACTTTATACACATACAGCACTATACAACATGATACGATACAATATGGTACAACACAACATGACACGATACAATACAACACTATACAATACAACACAACACGATACGATACAATATGATACAACATGACATGATATAAAAGTCGACTTGATACAACATGATACAATACAACACAGTACGATACGATACGACATGACACAACATGATATGACACAACATAACATGATACAAGACGATCTGATACATGATATGATACATGATACAATACACGATACAATACACGATACAATACATGATATGTGATATGATTCAACATGATATGACACTATATATGATTCAATGCATGTTACGATATGTGATACAATACACGATACCATATGTGATATTCTACATAATAAGATACATGATATGATACGTGATATGATACATGATATGATATGTGATATGATACATGATATGATACATGATACAATACATGATACAATGTTACGATATGTGATACAATACACAATACCATATGTGATATTCTACATAATAAGATATATGATATGATACGTGATATGATACATGATATGATACACGATACAATACATGATACAATGTTACGATATGTGATACAGTACATGATACAATACATGATACAATACATGTTATGATATGTGATACAATACACGATACCATATGTGATATTCTACATAATAAGATATATGATATGATACGTGATATGATACATGATATGATACACGATACAATACATGATACAATGTTACGATATGTGATACAGTACATGATACAATACATGATACAATACATGTTATGATATGTGATACAATACATGATACCATGTGTGATATTCTACATAAGATACATGATATGATACATGATYCAATACATGATACAATGTTACGATATGTGATACAATACATGATACCATGTGTGATATTCTACATAAGATACATGATATGATACATGATGTGATACATGATATGATACGCGAAATGCTACATAAGATACAAGATATGATACATGATAAGATACATGATAAGATACAATAAATGATACGTGATATGATTCAACAAGATATGACACGATACATGATACTGTAAGAAATACGTTTAAAATATCGGCTGAAGTCAGATYAAAACACAAGTGTTAAATAAATTGATCTGTGATAGGAATAAATGTCATACAACACCAGAATTCTGGATCTGAGTAAGGTTTATTTGTCACCGGACTGACAAGCGAAACCACACAGAATGAAAGACAGGAAGTGCATGTTTTTTATACACGATTCTTCAATGCCTGAGTTCGCCCCCTACTGACCTACGGCTGAATCACAGGCATTCAGACAAAGACCTCAATCAAATGGTTTAAAACAGTTCACTTATGTGTTGTTATAATTCGGACATGTATCTACTCTACTTCAATTAACACATAATAGATCAAACATTATACAAGTATTAAATAAGGAAACCCTAATACTCTGGTGTTGTTTTCTAACATCAGTACTAATCTATAAATAACAATAAATTTCTTCAATACCATACGTGATACATGCTACATAATAAGATACATGATACGATGTGTGATATGATACGTGACACGATACATGATACAGTACATGTTATGATATGTGATATAATACATGATAGCATACGTGATATTCTACATAGTAGAATATCACGTATCTTATTATGTAGAATCTACATAATAAGATACGTGATACGATACATGAAATGATACACAATACAATTCAACACGATGTGACACAGTACATGATACGATACATGATACGATACATGATACGATACATGATGCGTGATATGATTCAACAAGAAATGAAACGATACATGATACGAGACAACACAACATGATACAATAAAATCCGACACAATGCAAAATTATACACTACACAATGACATGTTACAACTTGATATAATACAATATGACTCAACCCAAAATAACATGATACAATATGACCCAATATAACTAGACACACAACACAATAAGACAAGTTAAAATATGACATGACACATCCATAGGTATGAGTGAGTGTGTCTATATGTCCCTGTGATAAGACTTGCAAAGTGTTCCCTGCCTCTCACACAACTGCTGAAGATAGCACCAGCTCTCTGTGTCTCGAAAAGGAAAGAGCAAGTAAAGAAAATGACTGACTGGCTGGTTGATACAATGTGACAAATACTACTCTGTCTCCTCTGGGATTTTTGTTTTGGACTTAATATTTCAATAGCTGCGTCTATTAATGATCTATTTGCACAAAATATTTAGCAAAAAACACATAGGCTACATGTAAAGAGAAAGAGAAAACCCAAAGTAAGAGCATGACAGTCCTATATGAGCCCTGCATCATCTGTTGTTAGTCTTCACTCCATGGTGTTCAGACACAGGTAAATTTTAATTTTAACAAGTCAAACAAAACCAAATCACTAACATAGTTTAACTTTCATTTCATCATTTAGCTACAGCAACATCACATTTAATATACATTTTCTTTTTGAAAGTTAACTTACTGGCAGCGTGCCGCAGATTCAAATGAGAGCTGGTTTCATTTCCTCAAATGTTGCGGAACTCTGACTGGTGCATTTGTGACTTCAGCACTTTCCCTCCTCCCACAGCCAACAGTTGAAACCACAGAGAGCAAACTAAGCTGAACAAACCTAGACAAATGATAATAATAATAATAAATGATTTGAATCCCCTCTGATTCTAAAGATTCATTAAACTAATTAACCTTTTTTTCAGCTGATACACTTGCTTAGATTCTTTTGGAACAGACAAAACTTGAACTGTGAATAACAACTCTTCCTGCTGCAATACTTGAGATTCAATTTTTTACAACAGTCGTGCTCATAAAATGAAAATCAACATTCAGGTTACAAATTAACAGACTCTTCTGTGACTGCTCTCTCCATCTGTTCCTCACACCTTCTTATTCCTTTATCCTAAATGGCTTTCTAGAAACAGCAAGTGAAAGATCGTTTGCGGAAGACTTAAACTCAAAGATACGAGACATGAGAGCCAAAAGACCTCGAAATTTGATGTGTTACAAGTATTTTGTTTTTTTTCCTGGAAGCAGCAGAGGACACCAGTTTTTTCACTATTTCAGGTTCAGGAAGTGTGGCTTGGAGAAACAAAGGCCATGCTGTTTTAGTTGTGCACAAGTATTTGAAAGCAAACATTTGAACCAATCAAACACAGGCTAAATAAGCTTAATCAAATTTTTCACAAAAGCATTATGAAAGAGTCAGATTACTGCTGAGATGTTTATCAGACAGGATACAGCCTGAAAAATCTGCCTCACAATTAAATTAGAGAACAAATTACAATGGGATTGTCCAGCAATTCATAACAACTTTTCATTTTTAAACTGAAATACATATATAAATAACTTATAGTTGTGTAAACTATATGCAGTCAAGAATATTTGTTTTTGCCTGTCTGTCATAAGCTACTTGTCACATTTTTTTGAAACTGTATATAACACAAAAATAGCTATAACTCAGTTGAATATGCAAATACTGTGCTGTGATAGCACAAGGGTGTCCATTACAGGTCACTATTCTGCATGTTCTACAGGTTTTCCTGCTCCAACACGTCTGTTTTGAGAAAAGTTAACAACATGCTTCTGCAAAATCTCTAAAGCATTACGTGTGTTGGGGGCAGAGAAACAAGTAAAACAAGCATGGAGTTTCTCCGTAACTTCTCTCACATTATTAAATGAGATAGCTCATTATGTTGATGACTAAAATAATAAGATCATCTTAGTCCAAAACTCTGGCACAAAAAAGGGTGGCAGGTGACATGCATTCCTTATTTAATTGTTTTTTTCTTTTTTCTTTTTATTATTTAAAAAGACAGGCTGACCAAAAATGTTTTTGATTAATAAAAAGATTAAAATCAGTCACATGGTTAAAAAATAAACTAATAAAATAAGACACTGAATATAAAATGTGACAAAATAACTAATATAAATTTACTGCAGAATGTGTTTTATGCAAGTGGAAAGCAAGATGTCCTAATACCTGTTTTGCAAACAAACAAACAAACAAACAAACAAACAAACAAACAAACAAACAAACAAACAAACAAACAAACAAACACCTTAAAAATAAACTTTAAACTTTTTTTAAATCCGCGCGTGTAATTCTAAATTTGACCAGCAGGGGAAAACATGGCGCTGTAACTTTGAGGTGCACCGGTCACGCTAGGAGTATTATGACGTCACTTCCCCCCACTGTTCATTCACTGGTCTGTAATCTGTTATGTGTGTATTTTTAACGATTGCCTTTTAACACTCCTCGAGTTTTGTCCTACCAGAGCCGAACTTTCAGGTGTGGTAACTGATACGAGCTTGTTCGCGCGTTTGTGAAAAGATGTAAGACGTAATTTTTGTTCAGTTTCACGACGTTTCAGAGGAGCTAGGCAAGTTTAGCTTCGCTAGGTAACGCAATGGTTTGTGTGATTGACAGCCGACAGATACCTCAATGATTTCTGCTTGTTTTTCTTAATGATTGTTTTTTTTTCCTTTGGCTACAGGAACAATAATCTCACTTAAAACTAATACTAAACCGCTAGTGTACGTAATAAACCGTGTCTTAATGTGCATTTCGCCGTGTTTTATAATACGCAGGGTTAATGAAAACAATGAATGCATGATATGTATTTATTTATGGTTTAGCTATTAGTTCTTCCCTAAATTTCTAGGATTTTGGCCTCTCAAACAGAAGGGTTTGTTTTGTTTTATAAATAAACTTAATTTTAATAAAAAGTCCTACATTAATTTTTTAGATAATAAGGATCAGAAGTTTAATCCATATAAAAATATGTGCAGTTGCAGCACTTAAAACAAACAAAAAATTTCCTGAAGTCACTTTTAAACTTCAAACTTATATTTTTTGTTGCTGCCACACAAGATGGAGAATTCAGAGACGAATATTTCATCGAGGTCCCTTTCACTTCCGGACAGAGGCATGTCGAGACCCTCGAGCTCTTCCAACCAGCCGTCAGAAGCGCCGAGATCTTCCAAAAACAAGGAGCACCCATCCAGGTCACCGAGGAGACGACGGGAGGGGAAACGGTCTCAGCGGCGGGGGGACGATCACGAACAGCTGCTGTGGGAGATGGAGCGCCGCAGGTTGCCAGGCCAACACGAGCACTTGGAGCCCTCTGGTTCGTCGTGCGACGCAGCGGAAAGCTCTCCTAAGAGGTTTGCTCCGCAGGTTGCCAGCTGGTCTGCCTCTGCCACTTGGCGTCAGACGATTATTGTCTTAACTCCTCTTTCTTTTCTCTTTTGTTTCCCTCCTCACAGAAGAGCCCACTTCCTACATGGACCGTATCCAGCCACTCACTTTGGACCCAAAGCCTGCATTCTTCCCAACCCAACCTCTGTGATGTAAGCTCGAAGCCTCCGAATAAGTTGAACTTTTTTGTTGACAAACGGCTCGATCGACCTGCGACACAGACGGGTTTATGTAACCGCGTCAGATAAGATAAAATGAGAATGTGATTGGCTCGTTCCATGAGACGGGGAAGGCTCACGGCACAGGCTGTCTGCCTTTTCTGTCACCCGATCTAAAAGAGTTTTCTGGGACATGATGGAAAACGCAAACAGATGAAATTATCTGCACAATGCCTACCGTCTGCCACAAAATGAAGAAGAAGAATAATAACTGGTAAAAAGAAAAGAGCGGATTTTTACATCGCATCTTCGGATTTCGATCTTTGTACTCTTACAGACAGGTGTCGTTACGGTTAATGAATGACTGCTGTTTGAAAAAAGTTGAATCTTTGTTCATTTCAAAGTGATTGTTGTGTAATGTGTGTTTGTTAACTCAAAACAGGTTGTTCTCTGTTACTTTTCATGCTGTTTGGTGTTGTGTTTGCTTGTGTGTGTAATTTTTCACGTCGTGTCCCAGGCACATCCAGGACCCCGCCAGCCAGAGGCTCACCTGGAACAAACCTCCGGTCAACGTTCTCGTCATCCGGAAGATCAGAGACGACAGCCTGGTCGAGCCTTTCAAAGAGCTCTGCAGCTTTCTGGTGGAGGTAGAGGGAAAAACATTTTTAGCAACTATTTTGTTGTAAGTTATTTTGCAATTCAGGAGAAAAAATAACACAGAAAAAAAAAACAGTCATTAGTTGTAAATGATTTTTAAAGAAGAAAGCCCCCCACAAAGAGTCAGATTTTCTGGTTGTGCACTTCATGATTAAAGGTAAAGGTGATCATTCTGAAGACCAGTCAAAAACAGTATAAAGTAAGAAACTAAATCTGCATTTAAAAAAATGTACGTGTTAATGTGCGTTTAGCATTTTTATATTTCCACCTGAATGTCTCTGAGGACCTACACTTGTATGATTCCACCATATTTGTTAGACTACAGTCAGCTTCTGTGTTGGTGGTTTTTGGTAAATACGGCCAAGTGGTTTGTTTATATTGAATGTGTACCTGCATTTTAGAATTGCATATAAATATTTGGAAGACTGCCCCACTTCAGTTCAGGATAATAATAATTGTGACCGATCAAATCGAAATGAGGATTAAATCAAATTTGGTCAAAATGACCTAATTACTTTTTTTAGATTCCTGCTTTAAACACTATATTTTGATACCTGGATTATTCTGATATCATAAGTAAATCCATAAATATGACTTTATTTGTCTTGTTGGTTACGATAATACATAAATACTTGGTCTGAATACTAATTTTATGTATTTTTAATGAGGAATTTTTGATGTCCTTATAAAGAGGAAACCTCAGATTTGAATATTGAGATTTCCCAGCTGAAAAGAAACAAAACTTTGCTCAAATTTTATGGGATTTTTCCTCAAAATCAGTTTTTTGTTGCTACTGCTCAAAAAAGTGCCTCAAAATTTTGCTTTATTATATTTCAGACAGTTCATTCAGATGATACATTGATATGTTTGACAAAATGCAATTTTTGCAAAAGTTTTAATCAAAACACTATATTTGCCTATTTCTCCATATACCACTTTTAAACTTGATCCTCGTTTCGATGTGATGGGTCACAATTATAATCTTTACCTAATTAAAGTTGAGCACTATAAATTCATCTCTTGTTAAAAGACATGTTAATTTGCTGTTGATGACAAACTGAAGCACAAGTTCCATCTTTTCCCTCCCGATGCCTCCAGATGAGGCAGGATCTGAACTTTTAGGTGGGGATAAAGAAGAAGGAGGCTGAATAGTTCCCCTCTGAGCTCATCTGGTATTGCAGCAGGCTTCATAAATGAGTCGTTTTTAAAACCAGGCATCCTCGAAAAGTGTCAGGTTTGACTTTCGGAAATGTATTTCAGACAAAATTCCTGAATTAGTTATTTTTATCTGCAGCTTTTGAGTACGTACATAGGCCTGGCCTCATTTTCTTTTGTCTTGGAGAACAGTTTGTAAACAACATGCATTTCCCCCCTCAGCAGATAGAAAGCTAAACACTTGTCCTGCTAAAGAAAAACAATAAATCCAGACTCAAAGAAACCAGGAAATGTTTCAGACGAGTGTTTGGGAACGCTGGTGTCTGATCTCCTGCAGCTCAGACCATTTTATCCACATGTTTATAAAACAAGCCAGTCTATGAAGCCACAATGTGAAAACTGGTCAGCACACTCATGCGTCTGCATTCCATTGGAACGCCGTAATAGTTGGCTGCGCATGTTTAGCATACCTTCAGGTTAGCTTCGAGGAGGATATGCCGTGGAGAGACGAGCACGTGTGTGTAACTAAGGGCGCGTGTTTGTGCGACAGGAGAAGCAGATGATGGTGTACGTGGAGCGCAGAGTCGCCGACGATGTCACGCTGTCGAAGGACGAGGCCTTCGGCTCCATCCGCAATCAGCTCTGCACCTTCAGAGAGGGTGAGACGTTCATGCTGACCCCGAAGGAAGCATTTAAACAGCAAGTCTTAAGGCTTTACTCAGGGTTCCCATGGGTCCTTGAAAACCTTGAAAGTTTTAAGGCCCTGGAAAGTTTGTGCAAACAGCCAAAAAATTACACTTGTCCTTGAAAGTCCTTGAAACCCGTCTGTGTCGCAGGTCGATCGAGCCGTTTGTCAACAAAAAAGTTCAACTTATTCAGGAGGTTTATATATATATA